CGACTCGACAATCAAAGGTTGTAAGTAAAGGTTCAACTTATGCTTTGGATTTTTTAAACCTACAATAATCAATATTAGGAGCATATATTCCTCCTTCACATACATTCACATTGGTAAATTATGAGGAGTCATAATTATGACTTAAGAAGAATATTAGGCACTAGATATACCGAATGGTTGAAACCTATCAATGTAAACTCTTAATCCGATATTCCTTCTTTCGGTTATAAAAGGAACATGAATGTGATAACTCCGGTGTACAATAGAGTTAAAGGGATGATTCATTGCTTCTACATCCTCAACCTTATGCTTGATGTGCTTAGTTGTGACATTCAATGCATACAATCTCTAAAACTACAAGGTGAACAAAAAGTAGTACATTTTTTTTTTATTACAACAAGTTTTCATCTTGTCAATCTCCGATGGAGACTTTGATATTGAGGATGTGCACAAAAATTGCATTTATCTTATTCACTTGTCTTCACCCCTAATAGATCATGCAGCCTCTCTCATAACAATAAATCTTTTCTACTCGGTAAACGCATCCCCTTAACTAGCTTATTTGTTTCATGTAAGCTATCCGTAATAGAGTTATCAATAGGCACCAACTCTTTCATCAACTCACATAACTAGTCATAACACTTTTTAGAAAATGATATTTTGATTTTAGGTTTAGTAATCGAGCAAGAGTTGATAATTGTGAGTGATTATCACAACTAGTCCAAATCTCTCAACGAGATGCATCCAACATATCATAAAAGGCTTAAGCTTTGAGATTCGGCACCTCCTCCGTGCTAGATGGATCAAAGGATCGATCGTCTACACCCATCACATTTTTTTAATATGGATTTTGGAGTTCACTACAACTACCTTGACCTACATGATAATTTTCAGAATAACCATAAGATGCCATGTATGACTCAAATTTTTCATGATATATTCAATCATATGGTATTGAACTATTTCAACCTCCTCAAAATATATGTTCTCACACTTGTTGTGATTATAAAGACACTTTATTTTGGTTACGTCCATACATTCTGGATGAATAATTGCAAATGTAATAAATTTTTTAACGCCATTGACAAACTCATCATTTAATAATCCATTAATTAACCTAACATTCATCTATTGTTGTTCGGATCTCTTTTTTTTTTAATGTTTGTAAAAAATTACATAACACATGCAAACAATTCTCCATCGGCATTCCTATAAATTAGATGTTTGTTAATTTTCAAATTATTTAATTAATAATTTTTCTAAAAATCTAATAAAATTTTGATAGAGTCTCCTAAATAAATTACACCTTCCCTAATTAACAAATAATCTAAATAATCACACAAATATTACGTACATCGAGACTAATAATTGTCCGGGATACTCAAATGAAATTAAATTCTAAACTTGTCCTCCCGGCTCCATCATAGAGCACCGAACCAACCTTATTTCTCCTCAATTCCAAAAGGTCTCGGACCCTTCGGGTTCGATATACTACGACGTATCTCGACATATTTCAACAATTATAAATTAAATAATAAAAGTATATAACTCTAATTCAAAGTAAATTTGAAATAAATTCTATTTTAAATATACTTAACAAATTAATCCAAATTTACCGAATTAGATTAAAAATAACTATTAGTTAACCTAATAGTAAAATTAAAATGTAACAAATTATTATCATATAAGTTAATCTAAATATTCTTTTTATCTAACAAAATAGTTGAAGAAGTAACTATATATATTGTGTTTTAGTTTTCTTTGATCTAATTTATTATTTTAGATAAAAAAAAAAATAGTTCACTTACTAAAATATTACAACTATTGTGTTTTGATTATCTTTAATATAAATTAATATTTTACAAAAATTTGATTTTTTGATTTGACTGGTAATTATTTTTTAATATTTTTTTGGTTATCTTTAATAAAATTTAATCTTTGACCTAAATTCATTTGATAATAGCTCAAATTAACACTAATTAATCAATTTAACATACTTATTCATTTAACTCATAATTAATCAAATAAACCTAATTAAAATTAACTTGCCACAATTAGCACTACTTCGGATTAATTAATTCAATTTATAAATTCAAATTAACATAATTAATTTAAACCTAATTTAAATAAACCTTATTAATCAACTAACAACTAATTTAAATTAACATATTAACCCTAATTTTAATTCAAATTAACATAATACAACTCACCATAATAAATTTGACTTAATTAATCGGCTAAGAACTATTTTAAATTAACCATATTTAACCTTAATTAACCTTAATTTAAATTCAAATTAACTTAATACAATGTACCATAATTAAATTAACATAATTAATAAGCTAATAACTAATTTAAATTAACCCTAATTCAAAATAACCTAACTCAATTAATACTAATTAATCAATTAATTAATCAAAACTAGCCTAAAAATTAATAAAAATAGTTAATGTGAATGAAAAAAAAAGTAGAGAGAGAGAGAGAGAGAGAACTGACAATAGGAGAGGTAGAGGAGAGGATTAAATGGGTGAAACACTTGATTTTTTGGGAGAGAGGAGTATTGTGTCGGTTAGAGGATGCCGGGGAGGGAGTTGAGTCACCTTGGGTGGTCAATTTGGGGCTAGGCAATCAACGACAACAAGAGGAAGAGAGAAAAAGATAGAAAAAAATGAGAAAGAAGAAGAGTTTTTGTCAATTTAAAGATTAAAAAATAACAATGGACATGATTACATCACTAATTCGTCGTAATTAGAGAGAGATTTAAGTGTCTATCGCAAATACTTAGTCAAATCGATCATTTTATTTCCTAATCTTTTCAAAAATGGAGCAAAGTTAGTCCGTGATAAAATACTAAAATCCATCGCTAATACGTCATTAAGTAGAAAAGGATTGAAGTATCCGTCGTTGATCCCTCCCAACATAAAGATAGATTTTTATGTCCGTCGCTAATACAAATTTAAATCATCATTTTAGTTTCGATCATTTTAGAATTGGGTCAAAGTAGATAGTCAACAATGGAGTACTCAAATCCGTCGCTAAGCGACGAGGGATTTAAATTTCCATCGCTAATTTCATCAAAAATGAGAATTAGTGACTTAATTGTTATTCTGTCACTAATTTTCCTTATAAATCCATCACTATTTCACTCGCTAGCGTAAGTTACCTGACGAACTCTATTTGTCGTCAATATTTCATCATAATTCCATTTCAAACCATGTTAGTCACAATTTTATCACAAAATTGTGCAAAATAGTGATAGTAGGCTCTCTGTTGCTAATCGATATTTTTTCTTATAGTGCTATATAATTTAATCCATGATTTAATCTTGAAAATTTACACCATTTTCATAAAGATAAGTTAGTCCCACAAAAGCTTTTTCTTTTATCTCTTATTTGATTTTATGATTGGCATTATTAATTAATGGAACTCTTGGTAAAAAAAAAAAAAAAAAAAGCGAAAAGGAGAATTTGTGTGATGAGAATTTTATTGTCTTGGTAAGCGACGAGGTAACTTAGGATACATTTATGGTCAACCACATGCAATTGTCATCAAAAGTCTTACCCACCCCGTGTGCCAATACACTACATTCCAAGTAGTTGGCAACAAAACACTAGAGAAGGCACTCCTAAGTGGGGTGTCAGCACCCAAGTCCCCCCTGGCCCTCTGAAATTTTCAAACAACAACAATAACAATAATAATAAAGGTATTTTTTAGTTTTCCCGATTTTAAAACTCTCGGATAAGTTTTTAAGGCTTGCTTTTTATTAGGGTATTTTTTCTGGAATTTTTGACCCCCAAAATAATAATAATAACAAAATATGAAAATAAAAGGAAAACAAAGGAACAGAAATGAAAAAGAAAAAAGAGAAAAAGGCTAATAAAAATGAAAAATAAAATAAAAAAATAGAAGAAGGGAATGAGAAATCAAATTAATAATAGTAATTGAAAAAGAGAGTTTCAATTGAAAACAATTCAACAGAATTATAGGTCAATTTGAGAATAGCAAAAACCTAAGGGAGAAATTGAGAGTAACTGGGGATCCAATCGATAAGATTTGAGGGAAGAAGGCCCCAAGCGTCACAATTTGAGTTATTCGATTGAGAAAAATTAAAATATGAAACAATTGAAGTGAAAAAGACCCACAGGAATCTAAAGGAACTTAAAGAATCAACTTCAGATGACCCTACTGTCCATTCTTTCCCTCTAAATCCGCCAAAAACCTCCTCTTGTCTAGGATTCATCTTCTTCCTTAGTAAGAGACAATTCCCAAGCTACTAAACTAGCCTTGTTGGCACTCCCACATCCATGCAAAAACCTTCCCAAGGCAGTTTAACTTATACCCACTACACCAAAAAAAGACATTCGAAGCGTTTTTTTCTATTCTAAAGACGATTATAACCACCTCTACAAAATCTAGAACCAGTTTATAAACTGCCTCAAAAACACCTGTAATGCTATCGTCTTTAAGCTATAAAGGTGGTTTTTGCAACCATCAGAGAATTTTAAGACGATTCAATTGATTTTTTAAGACAATTACAACCACTCCTACAACAGCAATTGTCTTTTTTATTTTATTTTTTTGGCGTGCAATTTGTGCAATGGTTGATCTCTATGTTCTTCGATTTTTAAAAAAATTAGCACAAAATATTTGGACCGATTACAGCCTCCTTAAATTTTAGAATTTATAAGGATGATTGTGTAACCACCTTTAGCATTATAATTTTGTTTCACCTTCAAATTGAATAATTTACTCCATTTTTTAGTCAAAAAACAAATAAATTAAAATAAAAAAATTACACTTTTGTTGAATGTAAATAAAAATCTTTTAAATAATAGTTGTATCTTTTATTCATTGTGTAGCATAACATGGGTAATAAACTAGTAAGAAACAAAAATACAATGCCCATCCATAGCATAACATCAACTAACAACGAGCTAATAAAAAGCTAAAATATATTCATCACAACATGGTAAAATCCTAGATAAACACCAACACAAAACTTAGTCAAAAAGGCTAAAACCCAAGTCTTCATTCAACTTTTTAGAGGGCTCTTCCTTTTTCTCCTCTTCCTTAGCAGCAACTAGGAAACACCAAAAGAAAAAAAAAAAAAAAAAGAATAGGATCTCCATAAAGATTATGCAGCCTCACCTGCCCTGTCACCATATATAGTCTGTTGTACCAACTATTGAATGCCACCCCAAATGCTGAAAACAATTGCTTGCGACTTTCTACTGGATTTTACAGCGTATACTCGATTTAGTAAAACCCTATCAATTATTGGGAAAAAGAAGATGAGGATATCTTAAATTTAACCAAAGGCTTTTTATCACTTGTAAACAGATCTTATCATCAATTCATCAGTATAACTCCAATTTCACACTTTAATTCATTCAAAAGATTCAAGAAAATTACCATTAGAAGCTTTAGAGTCTATAAGTTTTGCTAGCACCCCCGGGGCCTTTGCCAGCTCCTGTCTAGTCCACCCTCCTGAACATGAAGACACATAGATCTCATAATTTAGCACTGCCAAAGGGGCTTTCCACCACAGGTGCAAAGTTACACTGCAATAAGCAATTAAAATGTTAAGCTCCTAGAATTGAATTAATGAAAAAAAAAAAAAAGCTTGTGATTGCACTAATATATAGGAAGCTAATTACTAATAAGCAAGAATTCAATTAACATATGGTACTTCTTACTGAAATTTCAAGTCAAGTAGCTCACAGATATAGAGGAAATATATTCTATAACTGTGATGGGAGTATGGGCTGATCAACAAATTACAACATGGTATCCAAAGATGTATCCAAAATTCTGTTAGAAGTGCTTTGGACCAGTGTAATAGAAAAATCTACCTTCGTTGGCAATTTCTGCAACTCCTTAAGTAAAGGTTGGACACAACATTATAACTAACCAAGTCAGCAATATATATATCCTTGATTTATTTAATGTTTATGGAAGTTTTTTTTTTCAATTTACCCATTAACATTTATGCATAAGAGGTATGTTTAATGCAATTTGGTTTTAATTAAAAAAAAGTATAAGAAGAGATTGATATACCTTAAATGGTGAGGAAAGTGAAGTTCTGAGATGATCAAGGTTGTGAGAGACAGAAAGTTTGTGAATAGATCCACTTACTTGCAAAGCAAAAGTAAATCTTGCCATTTTAATTAGTTACTACTAATTTTCTCCCTCGCCTTAATTATTTGCTCTAGCGCCTAAAGCTCCTCATATATATAGACAAAGAAAGTGATTCTTCTAAATTTTTTTGGACAAAGGCATCAAATTTGCCAAAAAAAATACATTCTAGTAAGATCTGGACCAAGCCTCGTGATCACAATGCTAACTAAAGCAACCGAACAAGTAAAAATCTTCAACAAACTTAGCTTTTGATCAATTAAATGGTTGATTTATCAGAAAATACAGAATAAATTAAACTGAAACCATAAAACTTGAAAGTTGCATCAAAGACGGGTGAATGACCAAAATTTCCTTAAAAGATATTCCATCCTGTGGTGTGGAATGACCAAAGCCTGCAAGTCTTAAGAATGCAAAAGTTGCTTCATTTATTGATGCTTTAATCACCCCACAATCAAGAAAGAGATTCTTCCACTTCCTATGCCCAGTAGAAATAACAAATCTCTCTGAGAATGCTTTCTGAGAAATGCTAACCGCATTTCTTTTGTAAATAAATTAATGCACCCCTAAAGGAGAATCTTTTAATTCCCCATGTTCTTCTCTCTGTCCCTCCCTTCCTCCTTCCCTTTCTCTCTCATAGTTTTCCTTTCCAAGATAACAATTAAACTTCAGACCTACCCACAAACTCTTTAACTTTTTTTTTATCATTTTATACGAAGTTCAAAGTTACAGTACTAAAATTTCTAGAACCATGAAAATTAATAAATCATAAAAGGCAGTTGTTATAAATACTCGAAAAAGATGTGAAAATGATACTTGGAGAAGTAACCTGCAGTAGTTGAAGTAGATTAAAAATATTCATGAATATTTGGAAGAATATATCAAGCTCACACAAACTCAACTAAACTACCAATCTATGTAGTAGTTGCATTTACCATTACTCATCAAACTATGGAAGAATTAATTTCAAAGGAAAAACAGTGCAAATCACCATCCTCAAATGTGACACTAGCAAGTCAAATAAAATCAAAGAAAATAAAAGAACTGAAGCACACCGTATCTTTTGGTTGAGTAGAATGTCGCCAAAGAAGTCTAGCACTTAAGCTCTTTTGCTGAAATAGTTGTCATAGACCAGTAGTCGCAAATAGTGCAATCATAGTGTTTAGCTGATTAATCCCAACTAAAACCTATAGGCCAAAGACAGAAGTAGTGAAATCAAATCCCTTCCAAGCCGTGGATAGATGACGTCCATGTTCAAGGCAGCAGATCTGACTAGAATAATCAAAATAGAGAACTCAGGGGGAAGAAGAAAAAGGAGGAGAAGATGAAACCTAATGAAACGGATGAAAGAAAAAAGATGGAAGAAGAAACCTAAATAATCACAATTGGGATGTGATTGTCTCCCAAAATAATTGAATTGAAAAGCAGAAGAAGAAAAAACCTAGAGATAAAACATAGAAATCATAGGGCTGCAAGATAGTGAAGCGTTTTTTAGCTTTTGAGAACTTAAAATAGAAAAAAAATAAAAAATGAAAAGAGAGTGAGAGAAGCATGGGCTGCCAAAAGCAAGAGAAGGGAGCGGTTTATCATATTTATTTATGTATAAAAACAATATATTAATTTTGAGGCGATTTTCTTGATCACCCCAAGGCTTCTACCTCTAGAGCCTTCTTTTGGTGTAGTGACCTGACATTCCCTCCCTAGCTCGCCACTCAATGACCTCCACCTCATTATCCTTTTCCCATATTTATACCCCCTAAATTTACAGGTTAGACAAAAATAGGAGGGGTATACTGGCTTTACCTATAAAAAGAGAGAACATAAGCGCCTATCTAGCTCTTCAAAATGGACGAACAAGATACACCTAGAGGAAGTCAAAGGTTAGGATGATAAGAAGAGAGGAAAAAAGTGACATCTTGAGAAATTAGGGAAGAGAAAAAAAGTGAGGATTAGAGAGGAGAGAGCTCGAGAAAGGGAAGATGATTTTTCTAAAAAGCATATGGAGAAAAGAACAGTGAGGAAAGGGAAAAAAAAAAGAGAGAGAAAAACAAGTGAGTGAGAGTCTCTGGTAAGAAAAAACAAAGAGATCTTAAAAAAAATAAAAAATAAATCAAAATCGTCTGGAAAGTGTGGGATTTTTTTTTTTTTTTTTTTTTTTTAACTTGCTACCATTCACCTTTGTTTCCCTTCTATTTTCAAGCATACTAAGGTGCATTCATTACACCTTTTATGGGAGTTTTATGCATTTATATTTGTGTTTAGCATGTAATTCTTGTGTTAAGTTAAAACTCTATAAAAAAAATAAAAAATAAAAAATAAAAAATTCTTAAAACTTAAGGGAAGAGGGACCTTAGCGTACACGGTCATGAAAAAGCATTTTGGGTTAGGGTTTTTTAGCAAGATTATCTAGCTAATCTCAATAGCTAAGGAGATAATTTTGGTTAAGAAGATAGAATAAGTTCTTGTCTAGACCCCCAAGTTTAGTTTTGATCAGTTAGAGGAAGGGAGAAACTTGTTTTTATGGGAGTGAACCCAAGGCAATAGCTTGCAAAATAAACGTAACTGTGAAAAAAAACCAAGTCCTAAAGATGCCTGGTTAAATCGTGGTTTTCAAGCCTCGGCATGGTCCTAGACTTTGCGAATTGAGGTGGGCTTTTGGCTAGGATCTGTAGAGGATATCCCCACTAGTGTTTAGCTTTGTTTTCTTGCTTTTTCAAGATCCAGGGAATCCATGAGAAGTGTCTGAAGTTGGGTAGTTGGTTAGATTTCCAAGTTTAGTAGTCAAGCTAATTGGGTGGCCATTTTTGAGTGCGTATTCCCAGAGACCATGTAGGTTTCATGGGCATTTCTTGACATGGATTTCAAGATTTCTAGGACATTCTCTCTAGAGTTCAGTTTTTCCATGATGCTTAGTTAGGTCTAGTTTCATTTTCAATTTTTCATTTTTTACTTTTTAGTTGTTGTACCAGATTGATATATTAAAATACAATTAAAAACTAATGATAAAACAAAACTAATAATAAAAAAAAATCACAAACACCTACTTTATATAATTAAAAATAAAAAATAAAAGATAAAATCAATTAATAACAATAAAAGGAATTTCTAAGATAATTATGGGGGTTCTATATTGGATTACGACGATTGTCCCCTTTTTAAATTGCTTAAGGCTCAAATTCGATGAAAAAAGTCTTTTTCAACATAATAAGCTTGTAAAGACATGTTTTTTAGGTTTTTTTTTTTCGTTTTTTTTTTTTAATGATAATATCGGTAGTTCTAGTATCATGGGCGACTAGTACTTTTTTGTGGTTTTGTTCTCATACACAATCGACCTTTTGTGATAGTCTTGTTCTCAAAGATGACCTTACTTAATGGTCTTGTACTCAAGAGTGACATGCTCGATGGTTTTGTTTGCAAGGACGACCTACCCCGATGGTCTTGCTCTTAATGATGGCTTGTCCTAATGGTTTTGTTTTGAAGGATAACCTATTATAATGATCTTGTTTTTAAGAACGACTTGTTCTAATAGTTTTGTTTTCATAGGTGACTTATCCTAATGATCTTGTTCTTAATGAGTATTTTCCCTAAAAAATTATAAGAGATCTCCAAACATACAAATCATTTTGGGTGATTGACTATGCAAATGAGATCGAAAAAACAATCCTCCGATGGGTGATCCAATCAAAAGATTTATACGAATTGTTTTAGGTGATATATTTTTTTAAGACAAAATTAGAGAAACAAACTTCTAATGTGTGACTCAATCGAAAAAGATATAAAAATCATTTTGAGTGAGTTGATGAAATATTTTTCTATAATGCATCAATGAAGTTGATTGCAATTGTTAGTTTTTTACCTCTAGAAACTATAGTCCGTACTTTGAAAGCTTAACTTTTCTTCTATCATATCACTATTAATAAAGCCGAATCGAACTATATTAGATCATTAATTGATAGTTTGCTTGACATAGCTTTACTTGTTCCTTATTTTGGTTATTGTTGATTGCTTTGATTTATACTAAAACGTTTTCTTTCCAAGCTCTCTTTTCTCCAGGAGGCTTTATGACATTATTTTCCCAATCATTGTACCTAATTCAAGGTGTAAAATCTTTGGCCTTGCTAGTTAGTTTTCTCAATTTTGTAAATTACCATTCGGATTGGATCATGATATATCCTTAAATATTGGTTGAGATCATACATTTGTCACACCCTTTACACCATCACTATTTATGTTCGGTTTTCAACTTTGGATGTTTATTTCTCAATTTGCTAATTGATCTTGGTATTTTTGTCACATTTTGAGAAAACAAACATTGAATAAACATTCTATTTTTTCATGGCTTAAGTTATGAATTTGAATGATTCCTATAAAGACAATTCAAATTATTTAAACAAAATGTGCGAGAGATGTTCAAATAAAAGTATTTTCATTCATAAAGGTGTCCAAGTTGATTAGTCAAGAGTCAAAACATAATATTTAAATGCCATGATGTAATTTTTATAAGGTGATTATGGTCTTTGGCTAGTTGGGAAAATTTCTTTAGGTTGTGCACAATCTTCTAGAAAAAATTGATTTTTTATACTATTAAAGACAATGATCAAATGATGAGTCTATTTTGAAAAGTCGAAAGGTTGAGTATAAAATATTTTGAAAAATTTAGACTGCGAAGAACGAGTCTTGCCTCAAAATGCCTTGATCTTGTTTATTTCTTACCTCAAGTTATTTGATGAAGACTTATGATTTGATGTCACGAAAGATGACAAATAACACACCAACTTGTCATTGTTTTTTTTTTTTTTCAATCATTTTCTTACTCCTTTGAGATTAAATTCATCAAGATAAATAAAGTTTTCTTTGATTAGAAAGGACTTATAAAAGCACGTAATGTAGGTTGAAGATTAGGTTTATGAAAAAATGGGTGTATAAAGACACAAAAAAGTGTTTAAGGGTCATGAAACATAAGATCACTTTGTTATTTATGGAGACCTTCTTTAGGAAAAGCTCGCTTGGATTTTATCACTCTAGTCATTGATTTAGGATTTTGTGTCATCTTGAAATTTATGAAATTTTTTCTAGGCTTATCATAGTGACTTTGTTATTTTGATTGTCAAACTTTATTTTCGGGCTTAACTCTCGCTTGTTTGTTTGTCTAAATTTTGACTCTCATCTTATTTTTAATTTGCATTAGGAATGCTATTTCTTTCTTTCCTTTTTTTTTTTTTACATTTTTTTTTTGGAATTATCAATAAGGTTCTTTTGATACTTTTTTTTTTTAGAGTTTCATCGACTATCTATAGACTTCACATTTTATCCTCTAGTGTGAGGGTGATCCTAGTCGGGATCATTGTGAAAAAAATTATCAAGGCTCAAAATGGGATGATAAAGGATATAATTATTTGTGAGGAGCATGAAAGATGTCATTTCTTCATCTTAAAAGTTGATTTGTCTAATGTTGATAAACACTAATATCTTTTGAAAATAATGATTGATTAGAAAAACTCTTAGGTTAATTGAAGAGGAGAAATAATGGATGTAATTTGAAATCATGATTAGAATATGTACTATTCGTCATTATTTAAGACATTAATCATTTAGTCTATGAAATTTAGGTTTCATGATGTTATCTTAGTAAAAAAATTTCTTCAAAAAATTATTTTGGAAGGAAAAAGAGTTTCTTTTTGGTTTTCACAAAAGAAAGGATTCTTTTTACTTTTTGATCGAAGGTTATTAGGGAAAAAAATGTATCTTTGGTCGTAATGAAATGAGGGACCACCTCTAGCATATGTTTGTTATATTTTGAAATTTGATCAATCTTTTAAATATTTTGAATAAATTTTTCATTATAATATCTAGATAGAGGAAACTATAATGTCAAATAACACTTTCAAATAAACATCTCTTAATTTTGAGTCGGACAATATGAAATTATAAAAAAGAGAGTAAGAGCTACTTTTTTTTTTTTTTTCATTTAAAGATATGATTTAATCCATGAATAATAAAATATTTTTTAAAATAATGTTCAACATCCAACACAAATTAAAAGAATACATTTGTAATTTGCAAGCATGCATTTTCATCATAACTTTTCAAGCCCACTAAGTAAGGATGGATCAATTTTGATGGTACTCCAAATACTGTTAATGTAAACATGAATTTGCTCTCAAATCATACGAGTTACTAATATAAGGGATGAAGTTATTATATTGTCTTGATAGAGGAAACTATAATGTCAAATAACACTTTCAAATAAGC